TTTTTTTTTTTTACTGGAGAAATACGGCGAAGCCAAATTAAATCACAAATAAATAAGATTTCATGCAAGCTGTTTTCTTACCCGAGGTGACGGTGACCTGCGTTCCTTTCCCCCAGTAGTCGAAGTAATTGTAGCACGACAGTTCATTGTATAAACGGAGGTTTACATTAATATCGACGGCCAAGACGATAGTGTTGCCTTACTTTTTTTTATGAAAGGGATTTTACATTTATAATTCTAAAAAACGTCTTGTTGCCCCTCTTATTTAAAATTGTTTTACTTCGATCATCAGAATGAGATACAGTATTGCAAAAGGGTGGAAAAATAACAATTGCGAGACAGTCAGTAAACAGTAATAGCTAATAGATGTTCCAGGTCCTAATCACTCCGTGTCTCTCGCCTTTTCTCAGGACGCATTACCGTGAAGCACAAAGACAGAAGATTAAAAAGAATGTTGTGCTTTTCTAACGCGTAATCCGAGTAAAAAAGATATTCATGTCTTACCTGAAGTCACAGTTACCTGGGTCCCTTTCCCCCAGTAATCAAAAGCTTCCCAGTTGCACAGCTCTGTAATTCTACTATTTGTCTGTGCGCAAACCGCCTTTACTGTATTTCAAGCCTGTCTAAAGGCATCTGAAGAAAGCACCACTAACCCTGTCATCTACTTCTATTCGTAAATTCCCCATACAATTTTATCTTGACTTCCAGGTCAGAAATACTCACCTAAAAGATACGAGACGCCACTGCGCTGTAACGCTTAACGCCGAAAATATCTGGTACCGCTAAATTCTGAATTGAGGAGTTCAGAATCAGCACGCAGTTTAGAATACGACTGTTATCAGTAACTTTTCTTACCGTTCGTTACTGTCACCATAGTGCCTTTCCCCCAGTAGTCGTAAGCTCCATAGTCACAGTGCGGTGGCTGTTTAAATACCCAGTTCAAAAACTGGATACCTTTTGAGTCTTATTCTTATATACAACTGAATGCATTTTGATTTGGTTATTTTTTATAAAGAAATACACGGAACTACCGTTTATTTGCCATTGAGCGCTGAAAAGGATTAGTCACTCAGCAGATATTAAAAAATAAAAGACAAATTCGGAGCCCAGAACGTCAGTACATCGTCTTTTCTTACCGTTCGTGACTGTGACCGCTGTGCCTTTCCCCCAGTACTCGAAGTAACTGTACACGACGAAGGAACAACGCTTCCACGCTACACACAATCTCGAAAGCTTCTTTTTCAATACGAGGACGCTTATATAAAATCCGTGCTGTTCAAATAACGTCTAAATATAGGCTGCAGGCTATGAAACGTAGCCTTTCTGAACACAGTCTTTCTTTGACACTGGTCACTAATTTAGTCTTCTGATTCAAAGACCTTAGTTTTTTTTCTTTTTTGAAAAAAAAAAAAGAAAGTAAATTCAATACAGAGCGGCGAGTATTTACCTGAGGTGACGGTGACCGAGGTCCCTTTCCCCCAGTAGTCGAAAGCAGCATAGTCACAGTGCGGCACCTCGCTCATCGTTTCGAGCAATAACTACGCGCTACTTCTCGGTCATAATTAGGCTTTTCCAAATGTTGACACGATTTGTGTGGTGTACAAAAATAGGTACCGTGTTCTCTGTAGTACAGTGAACTGATTCCCCGAAATGGACGCGGGATTGTAAAAGCCATACTCCTATACCTTGGATTTTCGCTCAAAACACAATTATTTTCTCAAAACAATAATCCAAATATTTTGCATTTTAAAATACAGCTCTGGTCCTGTAAACACAAAGTCCTCCTCCCTCCTTGCCTTAAATAGGATACTCTAACTGCTTTCTCTCTTTCTTAAAAAATAAATAAATATCGTAATTCAAACCGTGTTAGAGAAAGATGTTTCGTCGGTAATTACAGTACCTGAGGTGACGGTCACCATGGTTCCTTTTCCCCAGTAGTCGAAATAGTCATTGTCACGGTGTTGTGTGTCGCTAGAATCTCAGTTCTAAAACTAAGCGCTGTGGGAACGATTCCACCCGAATCAAACCGGACAGCTCCCGAGCGCGTCCGCAGTGACCTGTGCGGTCCTAACACTCGAAACGAGCTCTGAACCCGTGAGCAACCAAAGAAAGAGGTTCTGTTATACTGTATAGGCCAGGACTGTTAACTTTTAGATCTTTCATAGTTTTATATTTTTTCAGCTGGACCCAAGAGGAAGACGCAT